GGGGGAGTTGTTGATGTTTTTTTAAAACCTGCCTCTAAGATTTCATAATACTAATATTGGCACTGTTTATTGACAGGTGGTCCTGTCTACCAGCAGCCAGCTGGAACTGGCCGACGCTGACCACTGGAGCTTCCAGCACACGACACTCAGTCTCAAGGCCGGGCAGACCACGCCCCTCGTTGAGGCCGCCATCATTGGCCGGGATTACGAGAGAGACTAGTCATTATTTGGTTGAAAGTTTTACTATACTACATTGCACATCTTCCAGAAGATTGGCTGGATTCCCATGACGTGGATCTCCGGTTGATTGTCTAAATTTCTTAGACCGCCAGGCTCGAAGTGTGAAAAGCCTACATAACTGTGGAATTGTTAAATGGATAGGTTTAACACCCTATCAACACTATTTAGTTATTTAAGAGATGTGGCCTCGGGTTTAACGTCCATCTCTGAAAGGACTGTGCCTATTGGAATTTTGTGTCAAGTGTCTTTCCAAGGGACACAACTATGGACGGAGCAGAGGCTCGAACCCCGGTTAAATAACAGTATATTCGAGACCCCTAATTGATTCAATTCCCAGAGGTAGGTCTCTGATTGGTTGACTTTCAACGTCAGCTATCCATGCCTGGCTAAGCATGTTATCTCTATGTTAAATATCCCCAGTGAATTGAATCGTAGTGTCAGATATACTTTAAAGGCTGAATTTCTTGTTCATAGATACGTAATTGGCTGAGCTCTTAAATTTATTTTTCTTTAACGGGCCGCTGGTTGATAGGATTTCTGCGATAAAGATGATTGACTAGCTGGATTTATGTGGCATAGATGACTATTGGCTTAAATTCAGTGACACAAATCATCAACTGGTGGGATTTCTGGATCGTCGTGCTCGAAGTGAAAGAAAAAGACTCAGAAGTAGTATGCGTAAGCTCCTTGATTGGTTAAATACGCATTCAAAAGACTCGTTGAATTCCTGTGTAGTGGCCTATAAGTTAGAGATCCATGTAAAATAGGCAATTTTTGTTACGCGCTCCTGGCCAATTGAGTCCCAAAGTCAGAGTTTCATGATTAGCTGAGTTCCTTATTCAAAGATGCCCGTTTAACTGAATTCCCCTTTCGCTGGTCCCTGGTTCCCTGGATTCGTTTTTGCTGGATCTAACGTTGATATAATTCCTGTACAATAGCTCTCAGATTGCATGAATTCTTTGTTGAAAGCTCTCTGGTTGACCAGATCCATATGAAGCAGAACACCAGCTGGAATGGCTTGTCAAGGCGCGGAAAGCCTAAACAATAGTATGTTTCCCATCCCTGATTCTTTGAAAACATTATTCCAAGAGGCTTGATTTCTTTGTTATCGTCTTTAATGAACATTTCTTTTCATCTATCTTTCACACAAATGTGTGCAGAGTACAAAAAGTGTTGTGTTTTTAATCGTTCTCTCTCTCTCTCTCTCTCTCTCTCTCTCTCTCTCTCTCTGTCTCTCGCTCTCTCTCTCTCTCTCTCTCTCGCTCTCTCTCTCTCTCGCTCTCTCTCTCTCGCGCTCTCTCTCTCTTTCTCTCTCTTCTCTCTCTCTTTCCCCTCTCTCTCTGAATATATGTATTTAAAAAATATATGTGAGGCAGCGTGGTGGAATCAGGCTCTCGTCAAAATATTCAAAGTGAAGAAACTTGCATTTTTCCGCAGGTTTGAATTTTTATCAAATTTTTGTTTTTTGGCTCAACATCTTTCATGCCCAATAAAGAACTCATTTCTCTGTGGATTTTTCTTAAAAACTTTGATTAAAGGCACACAAATTGTAAATTTTCAGCTACCATGGACTCTTAAGCTAAGGAAACAACTAATCTTTGGCGGCCATTTTTCTCACTAATTTTACCTACGAAAACA